AATTTTATTCATGTGGGAACAGATTTAGATGCTAGCGGTCGCTGTGGCAATAATTTTAAAGACACATACACCCATTTATTTGTATTCCCTTTATTTAATGATTTTCAGCAATGGTTGCATTTCTGGTAGCACAGGAGTGACACATTTCACTTTATTGTAATATTATACATTATTATTCAGCATTATACAACATTATACAATGTATCTTCCTTCCCCAGTGCAGTGACAGGTGCCTTTGTGCCGATAGAGCACTTTTTCTTGTGATGGGGCCCCGGGCGTAGATGGAGATTGGGCCCCAAAGCTCTTTCCCACAGAAGAAAGTTACAGATCTCCCTGACAAATCTAGGGTCACCTTCCTGGCCTGCCATTTCAATGTTTGGCCTTGATCTGTCACCCCCCCCCCCCCCAATGGAAGAGAAAAATTATTTTAAATAAATTTTAGAAATATTATTCCCAAACATATTGACATATATTAAATATATATATATACACACACACACACATACACATATTGTATGTTGAAATGCATTTTTATTACAAGATATATGAAAAAATATTTTTATATTTTTAAAAATACATTTTTGAATAAACTGTATGGCTTTAAAAATGCATGTTATATATAATTGTATTTTGAAATATATTGAATTTTGATTGAGTATGATTTTTCAGATATTTTGGAATATATAAAAAAAACACATTTCAACATACAGTATACAAAGAGATATATATATATATATATATATATATATATATATATATATTGAAATATATTGAATATGGCCACAATTGTAGTATTTAAAATATATGTAAATATATTTGGGAAGAATATTTTTAAAATATATATTCAAATATATTTTTCTTCCATGTGTCCCCCCAAACCCCCCACCCTCACACACACGCACATTGTGCAGGCACTTGCCTCTTTGTGACCTCCTTGATTTGCAGGATTTGGCTGGTGGATGTCCTCATTACTCACCTGTAGTAATTATTTGTATAAATTTACATCAAGTGTGACATTCTCATATAGTTGTATTAACAAGTTTAGCCGTCACCCCTATATGCCCCTTGGTCAGCAAGCCAAGCTGTCCAGTGATTCATCTCACAAAACTGGCAACTTGGCCAGCTGACAAGCTGGCCAGCAAATATTAAACCTGGGGGCTCACCCGCAGGGGTAGCTGTAAGAGGATGGTCTGGGCGAAAGAAAGACCAAGATGAGAGGAAGCTCTGGGTGAGAGGATGCTCTGGGTGGAAGGAAGCTCTGGGTGAGTGGATGTTCTTGGTGGAAGGAAGCTCTGGGTGAGTGGATGCTCTTGGTGGAAGGCAGCTCTGGGTGAGTGGATGCTCTTGGTGGAAGGCAGCTTTGGGTGAGTGGATGCTCTTGGTGGAAGGAAGCTCTGGGTGAGTGGATGCTCTTGGTGGAAGGAAGCTCTGGGTGAGTGGATGCTCTTGGTGGAAGGAAGCTCTGGGTGAGAGGATGCTCTTGGTGGAAGGAAGCTCTGGGTGAGAGGATGCTCTGGGTGGAAGGAAGCTCTGGGTGAGTGGATGCTCTGGGTGGAAGGAAGCTGTGGATGAGAAGATGCTTCGGTCAGCTTCTGACATTTTGGGGGATATCTGTACCTTCCTGACATTTGGGGGATATCTGTACCGTCCTGACATTTGGGGGGATATCTGTACCGTTCTGACATTTGGGGGATATCTGTCCTGTCCTGACATTTGGGGGATATCTGTACTGTTCTGACATTTGGGGGATATCTGTACCGTCCTGACATTTGGGGGATATCTGTACCGTCCTGACATTTGGGGGATATCTGTACCGTCCTGACATTTGGGGGATATCTGTACCGTTCTGACATTTGGGGGACATCTGTCCTGTCCTGACATTTGGGGGATATCTGTACCGTCCTGACATTTGGGGGATATCTGTACCGTCCTGACATTTGGGGGATATCTGTACTATTCTGACATTCTTGGACCTCAAGAAATTAGATTGGCCGTCAGCACTTCAGGATTGATCAATAATCAGATCTATACCATAGTTTGTGAACTCTATAACTTTCCTACAAACTAAATAATACATCCTAATTTGGGTTATTTTCACCAAAGACATGTAGCAGAATACATCTCGGCCTAAACTTATGAAGAACAATTATTTATTTGCAAACTTTTATAACAGAAACAAAGAAAAACGTTTTTTAAAAAAAATTTTTGGTCTTTTTTTTTGTTGATTTTAGCAAAAAATAAAACCCCAGCAGTGATTAAATACCACCAAAAGAAAGCTCTAGTTGTGTGAAGAAAAATGATAAAATTTTAGCTTGGGTACAATGTTGTATGACCGCGCAATTGTCATTCAAACTGTGAGAAAACCTGAAAAATGGCCTGGGCAGGAAGGGGGTAAAAGTGCCCGGTATTGAAATGGTTAAAAACGTGTGTTTTTCAGTTTTTTTTTTAGCGTTTAGCGGAGTTTTTCCACATTTGCTTTTTTTTGGGGGGATCAAAAAAAACATCCATAAATGCTGGTTTGCGGCGTTTTACCGCGTTCTGCAGTGTTAGAGCGTTTATACAGCTAAAAAACTCCTCTAGGAACCCACTAGTTTCTGGGGTTATTTCCAGCCAAAAAAAAAACGTTGATTCCAGTCTATGTGTGTATGGACACCGAGGGGAACATGCTGGGGGGTTTAGTCCGGACACTTTTCCCCCCCCTTCCAGTTCGGACACTTTCGCCCCCTTCCAGTCCAGACACTTTCGCCCCCTTCCTGAAAGCTGAAAATTGGCCCTAAACTGGAAGGGGGCAAAAAGTGTCCGGACTGGAAGGGGGAGGGGAAAGGGTCCGGACTGTAAAGGGAGGAAAGTGTCCGGACTGGAAGGGGGGAAGTGTCCGGACTGGAAGGGGGGGAAAGTGTCCGGACTGGAAGGGGGAGGGAAAGGGTCCGGACTGGAAAGGGGAGGAAAGTGTTCGGACTGGAAGGGGGTGAAAGTGTCCGGACTGGAAGGGGGGGAAAGTGTCTGGACTGGAAGGGGGGGGAAAGTGTCTGGACTGGAAGGGGGGGAAAGTGTCCGGACTGGAAGGGGGGGGGAAGCGTCTGGACTGGAAGGGGGGGAAAAGCGTCTGGACTGGAAGGGGGGGGGAAGCGTCCGGACTGGAAGGGGGGGGAAAAGTGTCCGGGCTGGAAGGGGGGAAAGCGTCTGGACTGGAAGGGGGGGGGGGGGAAGCGTCTGGACTGGAAGGGGGGGGGAAAAGCGTCTGGAGACTGGTAGAAGGGGGGGGAAGCGTCCGGACTGGAAGGGGGGAAAGTGTCCGGACTGGAAGGGGGAGGAAAGTGTCCGGGCTGGAAGGGGGGAAAGCGTCTGGACTGGAAGGGGGGGGGGGAAGCGTCTGGACTGGAAGGGGGGGAAAAGCGTCTGGACTGGAAGGGGGGGGGGAAGCGTCCGGACTGGAAGGGGGGGAAAGTGTCCGGGCTGGAAGGGGGGAAAGCGTCTGGACTGGAAGGGGGGGGGAAGCGTCTGGACTGGAAGGGGGGGAAAAAGCGTCCTGGACTGGAAGGGGGGGGGAAGCGTCCGGACTGGAAGGGGGGGGGGGGGGAAAGTGTCCAGGCTGGAAGGGGGAGGGTGAAAGTGTCTGGACTGGAAAGGCGGGAAAGCGTCTGGACTGGAAGGGGGGGGGGGGGAAGCGTCTGGACTGGAAGGGGGGGAAAAGCGTCAAGCGTCTGGACTGGAAGGGGGGGGAAGCGTCCGGACTGGAAGGGGGGGGAAAGTGTCCGGGCTGGAAGGGGGGAAAGCGTCTGGACTGGAAGGGGGGGGGAAGCGTCTGGACTGGAAGGGGGGAAAAGCGTCTGGACTGGAAGGGGGGGGGGGGGAAGCGTCCGGACTGGAAGGGGGGGGGAAAGTGTCCAGGCTGGAAGGGGGTGGGAAAGTGTCTGGACTGGAAGGGGGGGGGGAAGCGTCCGGACTGGAAGGGGGGGGGAAAGCGTCCGGACTGGAAGGGGGTGAAAGTGTCTGGACTGGAAGGGGGGGGGAGCGTCCGGACTGGAAGGGGGGGAAAGTGTCTGGACTGGAAGGGGGGGGGGGGGAAGCGTCTGGACTGGAAGGGGGGGGAGAAGCGTCCGGACTGGAAGGGGGGGGAAAGTGTCCGGGCTGGAAGGGGGGGGGGGAAAGTGTCCGGGCTGGAAGGGGGGGAAAGTGTCCGGACTGGAAGGGGGGGGGGGGGGAAAGTGTCCGGGCTGGAAGGGGGGTGAAAGCGTCTGGACTGGAAGTGGTTAATAGTAAAAAAGTAAAAAAAATGTTTTTTTTTTCATAATTATCGGTCTTTTTTTGTCAGTCTTTAAAAACCGCACAGGCGATCAAATATCGGCGAAAGAAAGTTCAATTTGTTGAAAAAAAAAAAAGGACTTAAACTTAAATTTGGCGCGGTCAGTGTTGCATGACCGCAACAATTGTCAGTTAAAGTAACGCAGCGCCTTAATGCAAAAAATGGCCTGGTCAGGAAGGGGGGGGGGGGGGGTGGGAGTGGGAATCCTCTGGAGGGGGGGGGGGGAAATCCCTCTGGAGGGGGGAGGGGGTAAATCCTCTGGAGGGGAAGGGGGGGAATCCTCTGGAGGGGGAGGGGGGGAATCCTCTGGAGGGGGAGGGGGTAAATCCTCTGGAGGGGAAGGGGGGGGAAATGCTCTGGAGGGGGAGGGGGGGAATGCTCTGGAGGGGGAGGGGTTAATAACGCGGAATATGTTCCTGTAGTCTTTGGGTGGTTTTTGTTATTCACAATAAAATGGAGGCAGCTGAGATGTGCGATGATCGATGTCTGCGTTTTTATTTCTCTGGGATTCCTGAACAATGATTGGACGAGGCCGGGGCTGTGCCTGGACTTGTGATTTTCTCTGCTGGATATGTGATACATGTACCCCCCCCCCCCACCCCACTCCCCCGACTTATTATTATATGGACGAGTGCCAGATCCCCACTGAATATTTTCTTTAACAGGGCTCTATGCATTAAATGTATGTATGAATGGGGAGGGGATTATAGTTCTCTAATATCTTACCACCACATTATATACTACAACAGGGGCGGACTGACCTTTTTGAAACTCGGGCACTGCCCGAGGGCCCGGGGTCAGTAGGGGGCCCCATGAGATGGCCCCTGGTACCTTTTTCATAGTTTTTTTTGAGTTTGGGCAAGGACACAGGGGCCCCATGATCCCCTATTGCCCGGGGGCCCCATGAGTTGTCAGTCTGCCCCTGTACTACAACCCCCTCCCCCCCCCATTTGGAAAACCCCAAGCCGACCTGTGTGTGAAAATATTCCTGCGGAGGAAGAAATGTCTCCCATCCTGATAATGTAACATAATGGTACATATGGGAGACAGACCGTGGGGGGGCACGACGGCTAAATGGTTAGCACTTCCGCCTGGCAGTACTCGGGTCATTGGTTCTAATCCCAACCATGGCACCAACTGCCTGGAGTTTGCATGAGCTCCCTGTGCCTGTGTGGGTTCCTCAAGGTACTCAGGTTTCCTACTACACTCCAAAGACAGCATTGCTGGGAGCAGAGGCAACTGACAACTCATGGGGCCCCCTGGCAATAGGGGATCATGGGGCCCCTGTGTCCTTGCCCAAACTCAAAAAAGCCTATGAAAAAGGTACCAGGGGCATCTCATGGGGCCCCCCACTGACCCCGGGCCCCCAGGCAGTGCCTTAGTTTCCAAATGGTCAGTGCAACCCTGGCTGGGAGGTGAATTGCCTCCTGTCTACATTGTCCCTAGTATGTGTATGTATGAATGTGAGTTAGGGACCTTAGATTGTACGCTCCTCGGGGGCGGGGACTGATGGGAATGTACAATATACATGTAAAGCGCTGCGTACATTGATGGCGATATATAAGGACCTGAAATAAATAAAAGGTGTCTGATCCAAAGAGCTTACAGTCTGTTGAAGACCACAGCCAAACCACCTCCAGATGATTTACCAGCCCCCCCCCCTTCCTGACCAGGCCAGGGGCAGACTGATCAATCGAGCACTCGTGCTCTGCCCGAGGGCCCTGGTCAGTAGGGGGCCTCATGAGATGCCTTTTGATACCTTTCACAGGCTTTTTTTGGGTGTGGTTTGAGTGTGGGCAAGGACACAGGGGCCCCATGATTTGCTATTACCCCGGGGGCCCATGAGTTGTCAGTCCGTCCCTGGACCAGGCCATTTTTGTGTGTTACGATGCTGAGATACTTTAACTGACAATTGCGCGGTCATGCCACGCCGCACCCAAATTAAATTTACGGCTTTTTTCGAAAAAAAAAAGAGCTTTCTTTCAGTAGTGTTTGATCTCCTGTGCGGCTTTCATTGTTTGAGCTATAAACAAAAAAACGACCAACAATTTTGAACCCCCCCCCAAAAAACAAGTATATTTTTGACTTTTATATATCAGTACATGTCAGTACATATCAGTGTATATCAGTACATATCAGTACATATCATATATCAGTACATGTCAGTACATATATCATTTGCATATCTGTGTATATCAGTATTATCAGTGTATATCAGTGTGTATATCAGTGTATATCAGTGTATATCAGTACAGTATATATCAGTACCCAGTATCAGTGTATATCAGTGTATATCAGTGTATATCAGTGTATATCAGTGTATATCAGTGTACATATCAGTATATATCAGTATATATCAGTGTATATCAGTGTATATCAGTGTATATCAGTACATATCAGTATATATCAGTACATATCAGTATATATCAGTGTCATATGTATATATCAGTGCATATCAGTGTATATCAGTACATAACAGTGTATATCAGTGTATATCAGTGTATATCAGTACGGTCAGTACATATCAGTGTATATATAGTCATACAGTCAGTATATATCAGTGTATATCAGTATCATGTCAGTACATATCAGTACATATCAGTATATATCAGTACATATCAGTGTATATATCAGTGTATATCAGTGTCAGTGTATAATATCAGTACATATCAGTACATATCAGTGTATATCAGTGTATATCAGTGTATATCAGTACATGTCAGTACATATCAGTACATATCAGTATATATCAGTACATATCAGTGTATATCAGTACATAGTACATATCAGTACATATCAGTGTATATCAGTGTATATCAGTATATATCAGTACATGTCAGTACAGTGTATATCAGTACATATCAGTGTATATCAGTACAGTGGTACATATCAGTAATATACATATCAGTATATATCAGTGTATATCAGTACATATCAGTGTATATCAGTATATATCAGTGTATATCAGTACATGTCAGTACATATCAGTGTATATCAGTACATGTCAGTACATATCAGTACATATCAGTGTATATCAGTACATATCAGTGTATATATCAGTACATATCAGTACATATCATCTGTGTATATCAGTAAGTACAGTACATGTATATCAGTGTATATATATCATATCATGTACATGTCAGTACATGTCAGTATATATCAGTGCATCAGTATCAGTAATATATATCAGTACATATCAGTGTATATCAGTACATGTCAGTACATATTCAGTGCATATCAGTATATATATCAGTCAGTGTATCACTATATAGTGTGTATGTCAGTACATATCAGTGTATCATCAGTACATATCAGTATATATCAGTGTATATCAGTACATATCAGTTACATATCAGTGTATATCAGTACATATCAGTGTATATCAGTATATATCAGTGTATATCAGTACATGTCAGTGTATATCAGTGTATGTCAGTATCATGTGTATATATCAGTGTATGTCAGTGTAATATCAGTACATATCAGTGTATATCAGTACATATCAGTGTATATCAGTATATGTCATACATATCAGTGTATATCAGTACATGTCAGTGTACATATCAGTACATATCAGTGTATATCAGTACATGTCAGTACATATCAGTGTATATCAGTACATGTCAGTACATATCAGTACATGTCAGTATATATCAGTACATATCAGTGTATATCAGTACATATCAGTGTATATCAGTACATGTCAGTACATATGTGCATATCAGTATATATCAGTGTATATCACTATATTACGAGTGTATATCAGTACATATCAGTGTCAGTATATATCAGTACATATCAGTGTATATCAGTGCGGTGTCAGTACATATCAGTGTTTATCAGTTTATATCAGTGTATATCAGTACATATCAGTGTATATCAGTACATATCAGTACATATCAGTGTATATATCAGTACATGTCAGTGTATATCAGTGTATGTCAGTACAGTATCAGTATCAGTATCAGTCATATCAGTATATATCAGTACATATCAGTGTATATCAGTATATATCAGTACATATCAGTGTATATAGTACAGTGCAGTGTCAGTGTATATCAGTACATATCAGTGTATATCAGTGTATAGTCAGTATATATCAGTACATATCAGTGTATATCAGTGTATATATCAGTATATATCAGTGCAGTGTATATCAGTATATATCAGTACATATCAGTGTATATCAGTGCGGGTGTCAGTGTATATCAGTGTATATAAGTATATCGGTGTCATTTCAGTGTATATCAGTACATATCAGAGTATATCAGTACATATCAGTACATATCAGTACATATCAGTCATATCAGTATATATCAGTGTATAATCAGTACATGTCAGTGTATATATCAGTACGGTGTCAGTGTACATATCAGTGTATATCAGTGTATATATATCAGTGTATATCAGTACATATCAGTATATATCAGTACATATCAGTGTATATATCAGTGTATATCAGTATATATCAGTACATATCAGTGTATATCAGTGTATATCAGTACATGTCAGTGTATATCAGTGCGGTATCAGTGTCAGTATATATCAGTGTATATCAGTGTACATATCAGTATATCAGTGTATATCAGTACATATCAGTGTATATCAGTGTATATCAGTGTAATCAGTACATATCAGTGTATATCAGTATATATCAGTGTATATCAGTACATATCAGTGTATATCAGTATTGTATCAGTACATATCAGTGTATTATCAGTGTATTCAGTATATATCAGTACATATCAGTGTATATCAGTACATATCATGCGGTTCAGTACATATCAGTGTATATCAGTACATATCAGTGTATATCAGTGTATATCAGTACATGTCAGTGTATATCAGTACATATCAGTACATAATCAGTGTAATATCAGTACATATCAGTGTATCCATGGTCCTAGGGAGCTCGCCAGTTGCCGCACGATGTTCTGGCTGGTGGGGACCTCTCCGTGGTCCTGTTTGGGGACATTATTGGTATTTGCATTAGGTGCTATAGTCATACTGGGTCTAAGTGTTCTTTATTTATATACAGTCAGGTCCATAAATATTGGGACATGGACACAATTCTAACTTTTTTGGCTCTATACACCACCACATGGATTTGAAATGAAACGAACAAGATGTGCTTTAACTGCAGACTGTCAGCTTTAATTTGAGGGTATTTACATCCAAGTCAGGTGAAGTGTAGGAATTACAAACAGTTTGCATATGTGCCTCCCACTTGTTAAGAGACCAAAAGTAATGGGACAGAATAATAATCATAAATCAAACTTCACTTTTTAATATTTGGTTGCAAATCCTTTGCAGTCAATTTACAGCCTGAAGTCTGGAACGCATAGACATCACCAGACGCTGGGTGTCATCCCTGGTGATGCTCTGCCAGGCCTTCTACTGCAACTGTCTTCAGTTCCTGCTTGTTCTTGGGGCATTTTCCCTTCGTTTTGTCTTCAGCAAGTGAAATGCTCAATCCGGATTCAGGTCAGGTGATTGATTGGCCATTGCAGAACATTCCACTTCTTTGGTTGCTTTTGCAGTCTGCTTTGGGTCATTGTCCATCTGCACTGTGAAGCGTCCAATGAGTTGTGAAGCATTTGGCTGAATATGAGGAGATAATATTCCCGAAACACTTCACAATTCATCCGGCTGCTTCTGTCAGCTGTCACATCATCAATAAATACAAGAGAAGCAGTTCCATTGGCAGCCATACATGCCCACGCATGACACTACCACCACCATGATCACTGATGAGGTGGTTTATCTTAGGATCATGAGCAGTTCCTTCTCATCCTCTTCTCTTCCCATCACTCTGGTACAAGTTGGATGTTGGTCTCATCTGTCCATAGGATGTTGTTCCAGAACCTGTGAAGGCTTTTTATACATGTCGTTTGGCAAACTCTAAATCTTGCCTTCCTGTTTTTGAGGCTCACCAATGGTTTTCCATCTTGTGGTGAACCCTCTGTATTCTCTCTGGTGAAGTCTTCTCTTGATTGGTGACTTTGACATTTGAAAATTGTGTCCATGTCCCAATTAGTTTATGGACCTGACTGTATATGTCTCCTATTCTAGTTTTCGGGTGTCAGGAATTTTTTGAATGTCCTGCTTTTTTCATAGACCCCATGGTGCCAGGGAAGAGTCTATGCACTTCTCCCAATCTCCCCCTATTGCTTTGGTGGAGACTCTTCCGTTCCTTGACTGTGTCTGGGATACTTGTATTTCAAATGTTTTATAAGAATATACTGTTTATTGGCTATTTGTTAGATTCTTCTTCTTGACTTTTTTCATGTTTTCTATGTGAGGATCTTTTATCATGAACAGGATCCATATATTCTTAACCACTTCCCGTCTGGCCCATGTATATAAACGGCTGGGACGGTGCAGAGTAGGGTAGGGTGGCCGTTTATAAATGGACCTCCCCGCCCACTGCTTGTGCACGCTCCCTGGGAGAATCCCCACGCAGCAGCATAGCGATCCAGTGCTCGCTGTGTCCTCCGGACACAGTGGAACACTGATCATCGTATGGGACCTCTGTGCAAGGCCCCAGATCATGTGATCACTGATTGGCCAATCAGCGATCACATGCAGAGTAGTAAGCAAGGTGTCACTTCTGACATCATTGCTTACTACATGTGAAATCTGCGAATTCACATGGTCACATGGTACAGGGCTATTCACAACAGCCTTGTACCATGTGACAAGCTGTGACCAATCACAGCTCACACAGTATTTCTCAATGGCTGCAAGAATGCAGCCAGAGAGGAGAAATGATTGCTTTTACAGCCTTTATGGGTTGTAAAAAGCAATCAGTGTAAAAAACAAAAAAAAACTTCACCACCC